TGAAAATTTCCACTCTACCTGCTCTCCCCACCCTCTGAGTCAAAATATCTTCTCACTTGTTGGAAAAATCTGCCCTGCCTGTTACACCTGTCAAGCCCAGTTTCTTGAACTGTACATAAAAAGATTGCTCTTTGCTAGGTTTTGGAGACTGAAAACCCAGAAAGAATCTGGAATAGTACCAGTTAATGGCAAGAAGCTAAGTGAGAAAATAATTATCATATAGGCTCAGTACATTTCTTCTAGGGAAGCCAGTAACATTAACATATCCTTATAATTTTCATATTACTTAGCAGCCTGTAAAATGCACACTAGTGTGCAAAGTTAGGGAGAGTATAATTTTTATGATGGTATCTTCCCCATTCCATTCTCTCTGCCTTACTCCATTCTACCAACAATGTTTGTCTTCTACTCGAGCAATAAAGAAATCAGATGTACAAAAATTAAAGCACATATTTTCTAAAGCTTCAATTTTTTTAAAATTGAGGATCAGTATAACATGGTAGTTAAGAATATATATATATATATTCTGAAATTAGACCACCTAAGTTCAAAGCCTGATTTCTGTTTTATACTAAACGTGGGTGGCTGTGGACAAGTAACTTCACCTCTGTGTTCTGACTGCATTCAGTTTAATACTAAGAAGTGACTCTTATGCTTTAGTATTGATCAGCATCATTGGAGAGCTCATTAAAACACTGCGAGGCCCAATGTCTAGAGTTTCTTTCTAATTCAGTAGATCTGGGCCCTGAGATTCTGCATTTCTCACAAGTTTTCAGGTGATGCTGACTTGGAGACCACATTTTAAGAACCACCACTCTACAGCAGTTTGTTAACCTTAGCATTATTGACATTTTGGGTTGGATAATTCTTTGTTTTGGGCCCTGCTTTGTGCATTGTAGGACGTTTAGTAATAGCATCCCTGGTCCTCTACTTGTTAGATGCCAATAGCACCTGCTTAGTTGTAAAAATGTCTCGGAGCAAGATTGCCCCTGGTTGAGAACCACTGCTCTAGGAATATTAACTCCAGGTGATCTCATGCTTTACTCTTCTCATGCTTTTGTAGGAGATAGTATGTGGGAGGTTTGGTGGTGGTAACAGAGCTTTTTGGTATTAAAAGAGTGGTTATAACCCTTCAGGTAGAATTTCATACCTTAATACAGTTAGGTGCAATTATCTTTAAATTTTACTGTGCTATTTTCCTGAAATATCTGGTAGATGTGTAACTCAATCAATAAAAGTATGTGTGAAGATAGAGATGGTCACCTGAGCGTTAGTCCCAATATTTCCATTGTTACTAGTTTGAACTCATCTGTGTTAATATATAAACCTACTAAAATAGGTCTGCCTGCCTCTTTACCTCCAATCCTTTCTTCATGCTGCAGCCAGTATGATCTTTGTGCAAATCTCATGGCCTCACTCTTTTGCTTACTCCCCATTGCTCTTAGGATAGTCCTAACATGGTTTATGAGGTTATGCACAATGCTTCCTTTTTAACGCTATCATTTACATTTTACTTTTCCCTGTTCATCTCTTCCTCCAATTTCCACTCCACACCCGCACCATATACCAAGCTGCTTTTCATTCCTAGCTTGCATCCCACTCTCGCTGCTAATCTTTGCGCTTGCTGTTTACATTTCCTGTAATACTCTTTCATTTTACTAACCTATAAACTGAGAGCATGGCCTACATCTATCTTCAGTGATTTATTTCCTTCTAAGTCCTAGTCGCACTGCTGGGTATAATCATTGCTGGCTCAGCTGTATTTTACTCATAGAAATAATTTCTTCTATTTCTTAGCCACATCATGTTGACCAGTACAAAGTTAGTTCTAATTCAGAATACATTTAAAATCAAAGTGAATTGAATATCTAACCTAACCATTGTGTGACTTTTATATATGTGTAGATAATTTTCGCTCCCAGTAAAGGAAATCTCAACCTGGCCAGGATTAAGCAAAAGATTTATCCCCTCATAACAGGAGGCTTCAAGGTTTTTTTTTTAATTCAGTGGCTCAGTTTTGGCCTCAAAGACTTAGATTTTTTATTCCTCTTCTCTGTATTCCACTGCATTTGCTTCATTCTGAGATAGATTCCATAAGTCACAACATGACTACCAGTGGCAATTGAGGTAATATATTTATTCACTTCAAGAGGAGATTGGCTCTTCTTTCTCAGAAGTTCAAGTAAGCATCCCCTTGCAACTCTCTGGTATAAATTGTCCTTTCCTTTGCATCCTTGAGTCAGTCACTGATAGAGGAGATGAAGGTACCATGGCTTTTTTAGACTGATCATCTGTGAGGAGGGCGGGTGCTGGGAAGTCACTCAGCGTCCTCCATGATGTCTCTTTTGCCAAACTTGCAGGAAATTTCCTATAAGGGAAAAAATTTTCAACTCTTCTGCTTCTTAAAATTTATTACAACTTGCAAGATGAGGTACTCATAAAAAGAAACCCAAGAAATCTTCTATATAGTTAACCATGAAACCTTTTTTTCCCTTCAGATCCAGACATTTAATGTGGATGCATCATGCCAGACCGTGGAAGATTTAACGAATGGGGTTGTGATGGCCCAGGTTCTTCAAAAAATGTAAGAATAAATTGCTTTATCTTTTTGTATGTTCTTATACATGAATATTTATTTGATTGAAAACATGGACGAAAAATAAAGTACTTACATGAAACGTTGTTGCATGTAAAATAAGAACAGTCAGCAGAGATAATTTTAATGGCATGTACTTGTTTAGGTACAGGCTGACTGCCTGAAAGTTTTTTAGGGCTGTAATAGTTATACTACTCCAGTAGTTTTGCATTTTCAGCATAAGCTTGGCAGAAATTTTCCTGTTAGTGACCAGATTCTGCCATTATAGAAGAATCTAGGAGGCTTGCTCATAGTAATAATGCTGAAATGTAACAGTGAAGCCTTCCCTGATCACCTATTTAAAACCAGTGACAACCATTCTCCTGTGCTCTGTATCCCCTTTAACCTTTTATGTTCTTCTCTAAAGTATATTAATACCATCAGATATACCATCTACTTGCTTGTTTGTTATCTGCTGCCGCCTCCCCCAATACACACTCACAATATAAGCTTCACACAGAGGCAGGGTATTTGTTTTATTCACTGTTGTATCCTAGCTCCTAGGGCAATTCCTGGTGTTTGGTTGAACCACATGAAAATGACCTTTTTTGTAGATCAAAAATGGTCAAATATCAGCAGTTTCTCATGGTTCAGTCTGCATCATGGGTGCTCATATTTACTGAATGACTAAGGGAATGAAATATTTGTTTGGAATATATAAAACATACCTGATTCTTTCTAAGTACTTTGAAAACACAATAGTATGGCTGTCTTCAGCTTTCGACCAAGGAATTATTCAAATAAAGGATTACCTGTGAATTTAAGAAGTCATGAGCTTTGACACAATTTGGAGGATACTTATATGTTTTGAAGCTCTGAGCACTTGCATATGATTAGATGGGATTTCATGCAGTTCTCTTGAGACTCAGTATCATCATTAAATGAATTTTTGCTGTTTCTGACCTCATAGTGAACTGTATACATTTGCCCATCTGAGAAGTAGCTCAAATGCCTGAGTTTCAGAGAATCTATGTGTGCCTTTAGAACTGGGGACTCAGGCTTGAAAACTGTAGCTTGCTATTGCTTCTTCTATAACTAAGATGGCACACCTCTCCAGATATATAGACACGCAGACTTTTCGATGGAGCTCAAGAAGATTCATTTGAAACCTGACCAGAGTGATCTTGTGATTGTCATGGTCACTTCTGGGTGGGGCCCCAATAATTTTTACCCTTTGAATGGTCTACAGAGTGTCATTGTAGTCCTTAGTAAAAATTATTTGTAGGCATGTGGGCCTAGGTAAAGCCTTCCAGGTATATGTCAGTAAATGAATTTTTTGCTTAAGTTAGTTTGGGTAGGATTTCTCTCACTTGATTTCTACAAGAAGAAAGACTGTATCGTTTTTACCAGATCAAGATCGTAACATACATTATGTTCTGCAGAATAGTTATTTTAACTTACCAAAATCTTGTGGGCATTTTCCTCATCAATACTTAGATTTTTACTTTTTTTTCCCAGAATGCCTTTTTTTTCCTTTTGTTGAGGTATATAACACATATAGACAAGCATACTAAAAAAAGTGATGAATATCTGTGTGTGTACATATGTGTATATTGTATGTATATATGTGTGTATATACACATTCATATTACCACCACCCAGATTGAAATATATAACATTTCCAGCCCCAAAATGGTTCCTTGCATGCCTCTCCTTAATTAATACTTCTTGCTCCAAAGATGATTCTGACTTGTACAACATTAGCTTTTCATGTTCTTGAACATCTTGTAAATGGAATCATACAGTATGTACTGTTTTGTATCTGACTTCTTTTACTCAACATAATGGTCTCTGAGATTCATTCATATTGTTGCATATCATCTATTTTAAATGTATAATGTATACAACTTTAGGGAAATGCAAGTCTTTTGCATTTGGTATTTATTGAATGGCTACTTTGTTTCCACCACTGGTGATGCAAAGGTAAGCCACAACCCATGGGGTAATTGCCTTCAGAGAGTTTATAACCTGGGGAAAAACAAATTTTAAATAACCATGAAAACAAAATTGCTGCTATTAACAAAGTTCTGTGAAGTAAACAGTGTTATGAAAGTTTGTTGAGGTATATCTAACTTAGTCAAGGAAGTCATGAATATTTTACCTGAGTAAAAAAAGATAAATCTGAAAGATGATTGGTAACAGATTTCTTAGCAGAGGGAAGAGCATATGCAGAGGCCTTATAGACTGGTGGAATATGGTGAACACTGCCATAGAAAGACAGAAGGTTTGAGTGGCTAAAGCAGAGTAGGAGTATGGTACAAAATGAGGATTGAATGGTAGGTGGAGCCAGATCATGTAGGGCATTGTGTCTTCATTCCAAGGGCTATGAGAAGCAATTGAGGGTTTCGTTGGTGAGGGTAGGGTAACAGGGTCAGGTTTACGTTTTGAAAATACTCTGGTTGCAGGTATGAAATGAATTGGAGAAGATGATAATGATGAGGGCTGATCAATTGGAAAGACATTTATAGTAACTCAGAAGGGAAGTGATGGTACCTTGTACTAGGAAGTGGCAAAGTAGATGAAGATAAGTGAATGGACTCAAAATGGTATAGAAAATCAAATTCCAATGATTGATATGGGGTAGTTAGTAAAAGGGAGGTATCGAAATTGACTTTTAAGTTTCTAACTTAAGCAAATACACAGAAGAGGATGAACACCACTGGTGTGAGGATACTGAAAGGTGATCTGCTATGGGGAAGTGCTGGATGTACCATGAGCTAAGTTTGGGAGACAATGAATTTTGAGTGGTGTTGAGACATTAAGAAAAAATGCCAAGTTAGCAGTTGACCATATAAGTCTAGAGTTCAGAAGAGGAGTTCAAACTGGAGATATCAATTTGGGTATATCTTAATTGAAGCCATTAAGTGTGGATTAAATCACATAATGAAGAATATAGGGTAAGATGAAAAAAATGCCTGAGGCTTGAAGAACATTGACATTTAATTGTTTAAAACCTCAACTAGCAGAAGGACTAGAGAGGTATAATAAGGAAAGCCAGAGGAGTCTAGGTGCTGAGAAGAAAGTTTTATGGGAAATAACAAATATTCATTTTACCTGGATTAGTAAGTGAAAAACTGTCTTTTTGTAGTTTTAGTAGAAATTTTATCAAATATGGATCTAAGTAAGCTTATTGTTAGTGTAATTTATTTTTCTATAGTTTTTTATGTCATTTTCCATTCATCTGCTTTCCAGTTTCCCATATTTTGTTGCTGTTGTCTTTTCCCTTTTTGTTCCTGTAGATTCATATCCCCCCCACCTTTTAAAAAATTAATAGACTTTGTATTTTAGAACAGTTTTAGCTTCATAGCAAAATTGAATGGAAAAGAGTTTTATTATGGAGTGACGAAAAAGTTCTGGAGGTGGATAGTGATGACGGTTTCACAACAATGTGAACGTACTTAATGCCACTGAACTGTACACTTAAAAATGGTTTAAATGATAAATTTAAATAAATTTTACTACAGTAACAAAAAGTTTTTTAAAAACTGAGCAAAAAGCATGGCAGTTCCCACATATTTCCTTCTCTACTACACAGAGTGTCCCCCCGTCAATATCCCACACCAGAGTAGTATACTTGTTACAACTGATGAACCCACATTAAAACATTATCACTATCCAAAGTTCCTAATTTAGAGTTCACCCTGAGTTGTATATTTTATGGATTTTGACAAAAAAATAATGATATGTATTCACCACTGTAGTATCACATAGAATAGTTTTACTACCCTAGAAATGTGTTGCTCCACTTTGTCATCCTTCTCTCCCCTCAACCCCTGGCAGTCACTGATCTTTTTACTGTCATCAGAGTTTTGCCTTTTCTAGAATGTTATGTAGTTGGAATCATACAGCTTATATAGCCTTTTTTACATTGGCTTTGTTAAACAAAAATTTTAACTTCCATGGTTGAAAGTATTTTTAAAAGAAAGGGTTTATTAGACCATTTCTAGCAAAAAAAGACTGGTCCTGGGGCATGGAATCCAAACCACCTCATATGTAAACGAGGAGTGGAGGTTCTTGGGGTTTGGGGTCAGACAGTACCTGGCTGTTCTCTCTTTTTAGAAATAGCCACCTAGAAGTTAACTTAATAATTCCAACATACACTAGGGAGTGTGAGCAGTCTTTTGCTGGTTTTGTGCTGCAGTTGTTAAGTGATTAACCCCTTTTTGTCTCTTTCTTCCACGGCTAGCCCACTATAAGTTAATTTGGGACATCTCAGAATTTACTCTTTGTCAGTCTCTTTCACTTAGCAGTATTGCATTTAAGGTTCTTCCAAGTCTATTTGTGGCTTGATAGCTCTTTTCTTTTTAGTGCTTCCCACTCTTTTTTTTTTTTCACAGCTTTATTGAGATGAACTTGACATACAATAAAGTGCACATTTTAAAGTATAAAATTTGGAAAATTTTTACCTGTGTAGATGCCCATGATATTTATCACCACGGTCAAGATAATGAACATATCAATCACTTCAAAAAGTTTCCTCAATCCCTCCTTCCTGTCACCCTTTCCCATCCATCCCCAGGCAACCACTGATTTTCTTTCAGTCACTGTAGATTAATTTGCATTTTCTAGAAATTTATGTAAATGAACTCACAGTACGTTTCCTTTTTTGAGGGAAAGTGTATGACTTCTTTCATGCAGCACAATTATTTTGAGATTTGCTCATGTTGTTGCCTGTATTTGTAGTTTGTACATAGTCCATTGTATGGTTGTTGCACGACCAGTTCATTTGTTCCTCTGCTGATGCACATCTGGGTTATCTTAGTTTTGGACTATTACAAATAAAGCTGCTGTGAACTTCAGTGTACAAATCTTTGTGTGGACATGTGCTTTCATTTCCCTTGGATATAGCTAACTCTTCATTAAACATTTAATGGTAAGGAACCAAAATAATTTTTTCTGGTAATTAAAAGATCATTAGAAGATAGACCTAAGAAACAGCCTATTTACAAAAATACTTTGTTGATAAAAATGCCATATCAAGAAATGAAATCAAAATACAGTGTTTGTTTTAGACTCCATCTTAATTTGGGGGAGGTCAATAAGAATATTACAGTACTTAAATAATTTTAGCAGTAGAAATAAAATTTAATTTTTTGGTTTCTGTGAAGGCAGTTGACTGTAGGTAGACAATATATTTCTGGAATTATATTAAGAATTAAATTAATGGACTTTTCATTTAACTTAAGCTATGACTGGTACATAAGTTACAGCCAAATATGATGTTACTGGAAAAGTCTAAGGAAATGGTTTTCTAAGTTTTGTGGTTTTTTTTTTTTTTTTTTTTTTTTAAGGAGGAGTCAGGATATAGTAAGCTATCTTTAGCTTCTTACTCATGAAGAGCACTCCCAGTAAGATTGTCAGTTGTTATTTCCGTATCTGGGCAGAACTGCAATCTATTGAGATTTTAGAGAAATTACATTTATATTGTTTGATCCTAGCCTGAAAGCATCAGTTAAGGGCTACTTAGAAAACATTGCTGAAGTTGTAACTACTTATCAAAACAGTGTTATGTTTAGATGCCTGCGTAGTGAGTCAAAGTTTATTACTAGGAAAAGTCACACTGAATACAGGAAGGCTGTAGACTACTATTCTTGTGTCTGCCAACATAGTAGATTAGAAGCTTATTAAATTAACGTGCTGTCACTTTCCAAATCTATTTCAGTCCACAGATTTATTGAGAACCTGCTATGTGTCAGGCATGAGGTATTGGGCAATATAGCAGTGAATGAGAACATAGAGAAACATAGGTGTTCAATCTGTGGTCTTGAACAAATAATTAAATTTTGTAGATCAGTTTCAAAGCCTTTAAAATGAGGATCATGCTGGGCTAAAAAGTTTTTTTTTTTCCTTTCTAGTGTTTACAGAAGTTTGGGAGGTTTTCCTAAGAAAAGTAACCATAAGTATATTCAGGTTCTATCCTTGTTTCAATTTGTTTGTCCACACCAATGTTATCTTAGACTTTAAGCCTTTTGCAAATAGAAACTGTGTCCAACTTTGACTAATGCCTAGTATTATAGCTCAGAAAATAGGTTTTCAGCTTATATTATTTAAAGAAATTGAAGTTTTAGAAACAATATCTGTGACCTCACGGTATTAAATGATGTAGAAAATTGAAATATTAACTGGAAAGTTTATTTTAACCTTTATAATATATTTCTTTTGTCTATTTAAAATTGTTACTGATTTTGACTGTTTTTAGTTATAATGTGATGTCTACAAGTTATGTTAATTCCAAGTTAGTGTATTTATGTATAATTTGTTTTAAAAATATATTAACTATTTTATTATTTTCCACCTTTTAGGTTTTTTTAATAAACAACATATATTTTTTAATGAGCTGATAATAATCAAGCTGATTTTAGATAAATCTATAATTGCATCTGATCTTGTGTACTGAGTTATTTAGTGACCGATATGTAGTAAATACATTTTTATGTTGCAGTTAAGTGGTGGTATGGGATGGGTTTCAATTTTTTTGTTGTTGTTTTTTTAGCTAGATAGCTACATGATATTAACAAGCTAGTTTTTTTTTCTCTTTTGCAGAGATCCTGCATATTTTGATGAAAATTGGCTAAACAGAATCAAAACCGAAGTGGGAGATAATTGGAGGCTAAAGGTATTTTCTTTTTCTTTTTCCATCTGTAAATGAATCTTGTCTGTGTATATAATGTTTGTTGATTTTTGATCAGATGTGTCCAGTGAGCTTTAGAAATTTAGGTAGTCTTTAGTGAAATAATCTAGAATTGAAGATTGGCGGTAACCTGAAATTGCTCACCAAGATATAATGTAAATTAGTAAAGCACGGTGACTGAGGGCATGGACTCTAGAGCCAGATTGCCTTGTCCATATCACAACTCTACCATTTGCTGTCTGTGGGAAAGTCTTATCCTTTCTGTGCCTCAGTTTCCCCATTTGTGATACAAGGATTGTAATAGAATTCATCTTGTAGGAATAAATGAGTTGAATGTATGTAATGTACTTAGGATAGTGCAAGGCACATGTATTAGTTGCTAATATTGTTATTAATAAGAAAATAATGGGACATAAACTACCATTTTAAATGAACACATTGATTTCTAAGTCATTCTAATTTAAAATGTTAAAAAAAAAATGAACATACTAGAATAAAGGAAATACAGTATACATTTTCCATGTCTCCAGATTTCTCTAGAAGTATAAACACGTTAGTTTATTTGAGTTTTTTTAAACAAAGTTTTCAGTTTCTTTTTTAAAAATAAATGTCTTTGATTAATCATTGGCTTTCACTGCTATAATTCAGCCTCTTTTATTTGATAGCCACAGATTCTATTGTCTTCTATCCTGGGACATCTTCAGCTACTAACATTGTCTAAGAATAGCTATGATCAACAGAATCATATTATATACATACATATTTAACTTAACACAGATGCAACCATGTGAGTTCGGTAAAAAAAAAAAAAAGTAGAGGGGAAAAAAAGTAATGGCTGACAGTAAATAGTGCAGGTGATTCTGCCTGTCATTTCACCCAGATAACATATGGCCAACGAACCTATTCTCTAGGGTAGAGTGTTGGGAGACATTTATATATTGGTCCCTCATCCTGCCTGTTTCTAGGATGCTTCTTATAGCACAAATATCACTTACAGTACGGAGTGTTATTTCAAGATGTAGGAGTTGGATTTGTTTGTTTGTTTTTTAACTTATGGGCTCATAAATATGTACTTTGATGTCCAACTGAAGAAACAGCAGTCTCTTCTCCCAGTGGAGGAACTTGGAGACATACTTTATAGATTATTTTAAGAGATTTCCAGTGGTAATTATGACTCTAATTTTTGCTTAATGCTTTTAACATTAGAACTTAATCTCTATGTAAGATGTAACTCCACTTTTCTAAGGAAACCAGCACTGAACTCAAGTCTTCACTAAAGATGGTACTTTTTTTTTCACCTGCAGAAAATCTGAATAATTTGATTTTACAGTTGTCTTATCCAGTTATCCTCCAATTTTTGTCAGTGGTCATAACATTGAAAATTTGACATAATTGGAAACTTAAGTTGTTCTATAAATATCTTAGATCAAATACATTGAGCCATTAAGAGTTTTTTTTGATGAAGGTAATTCAAATATGCTATTGAATTTTATCTTTTATAAATTTACTTTATGATTAACAAGACTGAGTAGTTGATTTAGAAATGTTTTGTGTTAAACTATATTTTGATACGTGGTTGCCATTTACCCAGTTGTTTTCTCTCTCTCTAAATAGATAAGCAATTTAAAGAAAATTTTAAAAGGAATCTTGGATTATAATCATGAGGTAAGAACTTCTTTCTCATTCTCCTTGGAAGTATTACTATAGGAGAGTTTAATTTTACAGTATTTTATAATTTCAGTGAAAGGAAAAATTCTTTCAAAGTTAATAATCAGTTTGTCTTCCACTGTATAGTTTCTAGGATATTGGTTCAAATAACCATCTATTAGGTGGCTACTAGATAAATACCTTTTTTGTTGTAGTATGCTAGTTTGTAAATAAATACTAATTTATGCTAAACTTTACTTTGTTCTGTCTGTTCTCTCTTTCCTTACTGTGAAAGTAGTTTGGAGTCCATGCATTATTATGATCAACTCCCTTGCTTATTTCCATTTTATTCCTTAGCAGACTCCCCTAACCCATAACACTACAGCCACACTCATCCTGCTTCTGTACTTTTAGAGTCTTTGTTTTTCACTATAGAATTATAAGGTAGATACCTGCCTATTTGTCACTCAGTTTCCCCATAAAGGAATCTTCCATTGTCCTTCCTGGTATAGATGTCTTGCTGTCAGCATTTGGACTCAAAATGGAGTCCAGAGGAGGCTAGGAGGAATCTTACAGTTGGTGACATGAAACCTTTATTTAATTTCCGATCTTTCTAATGCCGTCTGATTCAGAACCTCTATGGCTCTTCAGAAGGTACACATCCAGTCTTTCTGGGCATGGTGGAGGGATCAATAGTACTCAGTTTCTTTGCTCAGTATTCATAAATAGTAATTATGAGTGAGATTGACATGGCAGCTCTGTCCTTAGCAATGAGTTAGTTGTTGATAGTCAGGTCTCTATCACAGATACTTTATTTGATCATATAAACGTAAATGCAATTCTAATCCTTTTATCTCCATTCAGATTTTAGGACAGCAAATTAATGACTTTACCCTTCCTGATGTGAACCTTATTGGGGAGCATTCTGATGCTGCCGAGCTGGGAAGGATGCTTCAACTCATTTTAGGCTGTGCTGTGAACTGTGAACAGAAGCAAGGTAATTTACTTGAAGTTAGTGTATGCATTTGAAATATTAAGAAAAGTAATACATTTTGTTATATATAAAATATATTTAATAATATACTAATATATTAATGTATATTAATGAATAAGATTTAAATACATATTTAATAATATATGTAAAAGTAACATATATTGCATATTTTATTCATAAATCGCCAGTACAAATAATATCTTCAGGCCATCCTCAAAGAATGCCATTTTCTCCAGCTTTGCTAATAATTTGTTTTCAAGCTTAAAAGAGTTTTGTAAGAAAGATAAGTTTGATTATGATGATATTCTTTCCCTTTCTGCAAGACTACATAATTCTTTGAGTAGATTATTTTTAACTTCACTGAATGTGATGAAATTTACCGTAAATTAGGCAATATCCAGCTAAATTAATAATATCAATAAGGATATACTGGATCAATTCAGCTCTGGAAACTTAAAATTAGATAATTTAGATTGCAAGTACAAATGATTTATTTTACAAATATTTACTGAACTTACACATCATGCTGGGGCTAGGAATACAGTGTCAGACAGAACAGGAATGGTACATGTCCTCATGGAACTTGTAGTTGAGTGGAGAGGGGTGGCAATAAATAATGCCACACAGAACTGTGTAATCTAAGTGGTGGTGAATGCTGCGAAGGTAAAGTATAATGGAGAACAGTCTAGGCTTGGGTTGGGGAAATTTTATCAGCAAATATATGGAGTAAAGTCAGGAGTATTCTGAATAGTAGAAGCTGAATGGTACCTTTGAGGAATGAAAAAACAACTTGATTGGAGAATAGTGAGAAGAATAAAGAGAAATGCAGCAGAAGAAAGGCAGATGGGAACTATTCTAAATGTTGATGACACAGTATTTTACTGCTATTTATATGACTCTTGAAGACGATTGATTTCTTTTTTAAGTCCAAAGGTATTTTTCATCTTCCTCTTACCTTACCTTTGGTAATGCAAAACAGATTTTTATTAACTTGTTGTCTGTACTTTTTGGTGTTCTAGTTATAATAATAACAGTCAACAGTTTTTTGTTTGTTTGTTTTTTAAGCTATGACTAGTTTTATTGGTTTCTGATTCAGGAATTTTTTCTAACAAAATATTTCTCCTTAGCCCCATTCCTTATAGTTTTTAGCATACTCTGCTCCTATAGTAAATTTTAGCTTGTTTTTTCAGTTTAACTCAGGAATTAAAATAGAGATTTTTTACATTTGTGATTTTTGTGTATTACTGAAACGTCTAACAAGTTTTTTTGTCAAAGATTTTAAGATTGGTATAGATAAGATTCAAGACACACTAAATCTCTAAATAAATGCTTTGATTTTAAAAGGTGGATACAAAAATTATTTAATTTTTAATTATTTAATTATTTAATTGAATTATTTAATTCATTGAATTCAGATAATGGCTTCTTATGTATTTATTCTGTTAGGAGATTCATTAATTCTTGGAATTATCTTTGGTACTTAAGGGTCCTTGGAAGCATATAGCTGTTAAAATTGGCTAATCATATTTATTAGAGGATAGGAGCAGGAAACAACAAGGATGCTACCTATATCCATATTCCTATGGGAAAAAAAGACAGTCATATTATTTATAGAACTTCCCACACAGATCAAGTGTTTTATATAAAACCTAGATTCTCCTGAAATTGTATATAAATGATGACAACTTTGAACAGAATTTTAATATCTCACAGAGGGCATTCTCTGCTCTAAGGAGCACAGTTGAGAGCTAAGAATTAAATGAATTTCTGAATTGTTAAGTACTGTAGTGCTTGTCACTGCACACTTATGATGTGTAAGGCTTACTAAAGTGGCACTGTCATTTACTGCCTGTAGGACATTGGACAAGATACTCAGCCTCTTACCTCAGCTACAGAATGAGGATACAAAATAGCTATGGGGAGTAAATGATATTGTGTATATGTATTTACTTTGCAATCTATAAAATACTATATAAATAAAAAGGCTTTTATGTTTAGATTGCTCAGATCATGATTCAAGATACATTTATCTTGGCTATTGAACTTCTCAAGTTGGAGCAAATAAATGGTAATAAATTTGAGGAAGCAAAGATTAGTGGTAGAAAATACACTGATAATAGTACTTATTGAGTGTCTCTCTTCTGCCTGGTACTCTACTAGGTACTAACAGAACAAAAAAAAAATGCTTTTTACAGATTAGGAAACTAAGACTCGTAAGTATTATATGAATTGCCCAAAATTTCTTGCTTGTGAAAAGCTAGGCAAGGACAAAAATTCATGTCTTTTCCACATTTAAATTTCATACTCTTTATACTAAACTGTGCTGTAAATTTTTGACGTGAAAGCTGAGTTTTCAGGATAAACTCCTCGACATAGCACACCTCATTCTCCAGCATTGCCTCATAGATCTGCACCCAGTAATCATACATACTTGCATTTGGACTTTTTAAGATTTGTAAATTATTTTTTATTTTAAAAAATTGTACATTAATGTAGTTCTCATCATCATTTTATCATTTAGCATTTTACGGTGTTCGCGGGGAAGGGCCTTGACGTGGCAACACCGCTTCTTAACTAACGCTTCCCCTCTCACACCTTACTAATAACTTCCTAAATCCCTATTCCCACTGTTATTTGCTTCCCTTCCACTAGGCTGTCATTAAGTTTTCCTTCTCCATTGTCAATGCCACTGCTTCTTCTCTTCCATGTTCACGGTCTTTTATTTTGAGGGCTGTTTAGTCATTCTAGCTGTGCTATTTCCTCCATATCCTTGGAATTCTGTATTTTGTATCTTTGAACAGAATATCAAAAAGCACCTGCTTGCATTCCAACACTTATAGAGTGCTCCTCATTGATAAAACCAAAAAAATTGAGCTTAGACTAAAGGACTTTTTTTTTACTGAATAATAGTTAAGTTATGATATATTCCTATTGTTGACTAAGAACAAGGCCTCTAATTTAAGTGTGTTGTGTATATTGATATGTTTAACTACACATTTGATTGGGCATAAAGTATGCTAAGGGCAATACTTCCTTAAAAACGTGTATTTGATTAAATAAAAGCTTTGGCATTCACAACTAGAATGTCAGAATTTAAAAGTGCTGTCAAAATACTTTCCTTATTTTTAGTAAGTTACCTGTCAAGCAAAAGATTAGTTTGTCATTCCAAAGACATGAGTCCCTTGCAAGGCCGCTTTAACAATTTCACAGTAAGACTCCTTCATATAATACTTGCAGTGCTGAGACAAGTTCTTGGTATTTCTTTTTTGGAAGTATGGCAGGTTGAGGATAAATTTCCTAATTATTTTACGCTTTAAAATATTTCGTATTAAAACAAATTTACTGTATTTGTTGGAATCCAGCTGGCCTGTTGATTTTTTTATGCTTAATGTCACTTTCGTCATCTATTGTTGGATTTGAAAATAATGAAGACTACTTCCAGGGCCTTTTTTAGAAGGAAAGAAATGATTTTTTTTTCAACTTTGTTATTACTGACAGTTAAAAGATCCTTCGAAAGAAATGATTTTTTTTTCAACTTTGTTATTACTTATCTTTTTCAGCAGTGGTGAGGGTACGAATGATGAAGTTGATGCTTGAGCCTCTTGGACATGTGGGTCATTATTTTAAATCCCAGGATTATTTAATATTTTTTAACTATGGTATCAGTTTTTAAGATTTTTCTTCCTATAATAGAACATATTAAGGTTGGAAGAATACAATTCAGTGCTTTGATGTCACATAAGAATAAAGCACAGACTCCAGTTTTTTAACATGTAGCAAAGAATGTGAAAGTCAGATATTTTTTAGATTTTAAGAAGAGTAATATGGAGTTTTTTCCACTCTGGCTTTAGGCTTTGCCATTTCATTTTGTTACATATGTGAGATCTTGTATTTGTGTGACCTTTAGCTGTAGCCTCAACTTTACAAGGAGTGGTTGGGGTGGATGTGGTGATATATTAAGGAAAGATAAATACTGTGACTTTTCAGCTTTTATCTGTGGCACATATGTTTAATCATGTATAAAGAATGCCTAGGAAGAAACAAAATACTGGAAACTACTTATAAGAATTCATGAAGTGGTAGCCTTGACTCCCTTGACTATCTTTACTTGAACAGTGACATTACAGATTGTTCTTGTTTTCAGAGTACATCCAGGCCATTATGATGATGGAAGAATCTGTTCAACATGTTGTCATGACAGCCATTCAAGAGGTATGTTAGAGCTTTGTGCTTACAGTTTGTGAGAAATTAAAGAAGCAAAAGTTTAAATAGAAGTAGAAATTTAAAAAAGATTCTCCTCATTTTTTTGAGAATTTTTCCTTTAAACTTATGATATAGTTTGTCTTATTTTTATTAAAGAAAATCATACTCATTTAAATTTCTCATTTTTATATAAATCTTAAACAATTATCTTGCAAGTATAGATATTCAGTGACTTCTTAATTTTTAAAAAAATGCCCTCATGAACCAAGAATAGTAGACTAATTCCTAAAGCCATTATACATAATTTCTATCTTAAACCAGCAGTCTGCCTCATACTTAACTATTGGTTTCTTGTTTGGCAGAATATGGGTCTTCAACTCCAGCTATGCCCACAGCAATTTCTAGATGAATATTTATATTGAAACTGTAGGGGAGGAAAAATATTTTTTTCCTCTACTCTTCCAAGTTCTCTGTTGGGGCCTCTATAACGAAAGACCTATTAGAGAAAAACATATAAATTTATTTAATAAAAGTTTTACATGATACAAGAACCTTCATAAAGAAATGAAGACCATAATAATATTTAAACCTGAGTGTTTTAATGCTATATTTGATGAAGAGTGGAGAATCCTGGAAAACTGTGATAGGGCAAAAAAGGGTTTGAGCTAAGTAAGTGTAGTAAACTGGGGGAAACAACTAGCCCTGTTCACTCAGATTTCTTTCAGCATCCCTCTGTCTTCGGAGATAACGATGCTCCTTTTCTTTTGAGTATAAGAAGGGCACCTCTTGGGAGGGTTTTATGACCTGCCTCAGGGGAAAGTCAGAAAGTCCTTCCTGGGCCTACTGTTTCTTAAATTCCTTCAGCTTGAAGTATTCATATGCCAAGGTGCCATATTTTGGCATAGCATGTCCTGAACTCCAGCAAATGTAAAACATAAAACTATAAAAGTAAAAATAAAATATAGATTAATAACTGGTTGATCTCAGAATATGAGAATGTTTTTAATCATAAAAGCAGTGGAAGAAACCGTTAAGGAAACTAGAAAACAGTATAGGACATGAATATGCAATTATCAGAGAAAAAATATAACAGACAAAAAAAAATGAAAAATGCCACATGCAAATTAAGATAAAGTGTGTGTTTGTTTTTTAATCTGACCTACTGACTATAAATTCAGAGATTCCTACTACCTGTTCAGTTTTGGTAATTCATTAGAATGACTAAGAACTCAGGAATGATGTCATTTTTATTACAGCAAAAGAACCCCCATTTCCAATGCATAGAGTGAAGTCTAGGACGGTACCAAATATAAACTTTCTGTTGTCCCCTCCCTGTGGAATCAAGACATGTCATCCTCCTAGCACATTAATGTGTGATAATATGGAGAATATCATCAACTAGAGAAGTTACCTTGAGTTTTCATGTCCAGAGTTTTCATTAGGGTTTCATTATGTAGATATGATTGATTGAATCATTGGCCATGAGATTGCACTCAATTTTCAGCCCCCTTTCCTCCCTTGATGCCAGGCTAACATTAAATGGCTCAAAGCCCCGGCCCTCTAATACATGGTTGGTTTTCTGCCATGGCCAGCCCCAACTAGAGTCATCTCCTTAGCTGAAACTATCTAGAGGTACACCAAAAATAACAAAGATAACTCCGCGTCAGTAAGGAAATTCCAGAGATTTAGAGGCTATCTCCCAGTAACGGGACAAAGGCTAGCCAAGTTCTCGGTTACACAGGACCTTTCAAAAAAAGAATAGCTTTTAATTTAAAAAACGATAAGGTTGGCAGTCAGCACTGATGGTAGGAGGGTAAATTGGCACATCTTTTAAAAAATGTTATACTCTTTTATATCATGTCAGATATAAGGTCATGAGTGTTAAAGTATCAAAATGATGATCATCCAAGCAAGATATAAGTTTAATTTACTCTTAAGTGGCCCTGGATTGGCTCTGTAGTCATCAGGAACCCAGCTTTCTTGTAGCTTATTGTCTGCTATCCTTAATACATAATTCCTACCTAGTGCTTGAGCTGTGGCTTCTCAAGTTCCAGGTATCACATTCACATGGTAACTGGGGAATGTGGTATTTGTGCCAGGTGGTCATAGAACCAGCCACAATTTGAGGATTCTGTTATTAAGCAAAAATGCAAAAAACAATAAGGGGCCATTAATAGTTCTGCCTTATTGTAATTGATCCTGTAATTTCACTTTTAGGAATTTATCCTAAGGAAATCTTAAATACAAAGATATATAATAATAGTAATAGCAAACATTTATCTAGCATACCCACTATATACTGGTACTTACTAAGCACATCACAGTTATTAACTCATTTAAAATTTGCTACAATTTAATTAATGCTACTGAAATGTATACTTAAAATATTAAAAGGGCAAATTTTATGTTATATATATTTTATCACATTAAAAAATAACAAAAACTAACTTCAATTTTTGAGGTATGTACTGTTATTGTCTCCATCTTATAAAAGAGGAAACTGAGGCATAGGCAGGGTGTGAGTAGCTTGTTCCAGTTCATACAGAAGTAGTAGCAGAGTTAGAACTCAGATCTAAGCAGTCTGAGTCCAGAGCTTACACCCATAACCATTGTGTGCTGTATTGCCTCAAGAGTGTTTATTTCACCATTATGTTCTAGTACTAAAAAGTTAGAAATAACCTAACTGCCCAGCAGGAGTAGAATGAATACATAAATTATGATACAATTGTATATTGGTATATTATGTAGACATTAAAGTATATTTTTGAAAAATGTATAACAACATAGGGGAAGGCTTATAATATAAAGGGAAACAGCACATGAACAGCATAATCCCATTTCTGTTAAAAAAAATTAAGATTAAAAACAAATTTGCCAAAACGTTAACTCCAAATGGTAGAATGTTCTATACTCTTATATATTTTCCAATTTTTTATAACAACAGGTATCATATCTATAATCAGTAATATTTTTTAAATTAAAATCTGTGACCAAGTGATTTTTAATTCTATGACTCCCCAAAAATTATTTAGAAATTCAGACTTAAGATTGGATACAACAGTGTTTATCAAACTATTTTATGTTAACAGATATGTGAAAGCAATGTATATCCATTGGTATACAAGTGTTTAAATTATGGTACATATTATGTACCCGATAAAATTTTGGAAATAAAAAGGTATCTTATGACAACAGGAAAGCATTTAAAATGTCAAGTGAACTAAGCAATATATAAAATTGTATGTACAATTAGATTTTAAGAATAGATTGTACATTTATTATGTGCATATTCCTTTTATTCATTAAGCCAATACTTAGTGAGCACCCAGTATGCACCAGGAGCTATGGTAGGCGTCATGGATACAACTATGAAAAAGGTAGACATGATCTCTTGGCTCACAAAATATAAGTCTCATGGGAGAAATGGCTAAACGAGGAATTCAGATATATTCAGAGCATTCAAAATGAAAAGTGCCATTATGAGAAAAATATGGGAGTATCTAAGGTTGGGGTGTTAGGGAAGACTACTCAAAAGAAGGAGCATCTAGACTGAGCACTTAAAGATGAGATGAGGTAAGGAAGGAGCAAAAATTCTTGTGAAGTCCAGGAGGCAATAGAAAGCAAGGCCTGCATGGCATATTGGAAGTGATGAAAAGAAGAATGCCTATAGCAGACGTGGTGAGGTAGAGAGTGCTTAGAGATGAAACAGGAGACATAAGATCATTAGGATATTTAGCAGTTTTGTTAAAAGAGTTGGAATTTGGGGAGCCAATCTATAGATTCTGAGGAGAGAATACATCGAAGTCTGTATCTGAGACAATTTGTGTAATGAGAAGAATGGTTTAGAGGAAAACAAAGCTAGAAAAAGGGAGAGCAGTTAATAGATGTTAATAATTATCCAGTGAAGAATGATGGAAGCCCAAACTTGGTTATAGCAGTCAGCAGGGAGAGAAGTGGACAGTTTGAAAATTATCAGAATTGGAATCAATTGGCTTGGTGACTGATTGGACTTAGAGGGAGGACAGGGGGTAACTGGATAAAATTATGGGATTGAAGAAGAGCTTCTGTAAGATGGTAGACATTTTTAAGTCACATTCTATTTGTCTTTATTGTTTTATTGTGGTAGAATACATATAAAATTTGCCATTAGTGAGGTTTTAGTACATTCATAATGTCATGCAAACATTATCACTATTTAGTTCCAGAACTTTTTCTTCACCACAGTGGGAAACCCTGTGCCCATTAAACAGTCAGCCTTCATTTCTTCCTTTCTCCAGATCCTGGAGACCAGTAATCTGCTTTCTGTCTGTATGGCTTTCCCTATTCTGGATATATCATTTAGATGGAATCATACGATATGTGCTCTTTTGTGTATGGCTTTTATCATTTAGCTTAATGTTTTCAAGGTTATGTTGTAGCATGTATCAATACTTTGTTCCTTCTTATGGCTGAATAATATTCCATTGTATGGATATACCACATTTTGTTTATTTATTTATTCAGTTGATGGACATTTGGGTTTTTCTCATCTTTTGGCTATTGTGAATAACACTGCTATGAACATGAGTGTACAGGGTTTGTATTTTATAAACACCTTAATTCATTTAGGTATGTACCCAGAAATTGAATTGCTGAGTTATATTGCAATTCTATGTTTAACTTTTGGAGGAAGCACCAGCCTGTTTTCCACAAGTCCTGTACTATTTTACATTCTTACCAGCAATGCACTAAGATTCTAATTTCTCCACCTTCTTGCCAACCTTTGTTATTGTTCATCTTTCTGATATTAGCAGTCCTGGTGGGTGTGAAGTGGTTTTCTCATTGTGGCTTATTTGCATTTCCCCTAAAGGCTAATGATGTTGAGCATCTTTTCAAGTGTTTGTTATCTTCCTTGGAGAAATAGGAGTGGTAGTCAAGTAAATTATAGTATTTTAACCTTTCAATGCTACTGGAAAGAAGCCACAAGAAAGAGAAGATAAAGGTTGAGATATGAGAAGACTACGGACAATAAATGGAGCAGGTTCTATGAGAAGCTGGGAAGAGACAGGGTTCAGAACACAAGTGGAGGGATTAGCCTTGGATAGGAAGCATAGCATTGGTAACTAAATTGAAGAAGGAAAGAATGGGCATGAATGTTGCCAATTTTGTAGATTAAGATAAAGGAAATTGGGGTAATTGTTGTCTGGAGGCAAGGTTTTCTGATGAGGAGAGTGGGGGAGTTTGTGAGGTTTGAGAAATAGGAAAGGTTTGGAATGATTTCTAAAGGGAATAAAGAGACTGCTAACTGGAGAAGCCTAACTGTACTTTCTGGGCAACTTTGAAGGCCCAGTTGAGATTGGAAACTATGTACTATTAGTGTTTTATGATTTAAAAATTTTTTTTTACTCTCAGAATTTAGCAATTAGAGTATATGGCCAGCAGAGATGGGTAGTAGGATTGATCTTGGATTGAGATTTTACCAGGAAGAAGGAAATGAGGTAAGGGGAGAATTGATTATATTGACAAAATTCATCAAAGTAATAGACAATGAAATCTAGGCTAGAAACAGAAGGTAATTGATTGAACAAATGATGTACCATAGAAGCTAAAGTAGGGAAGGGGAGATTCCCTAAAATAAGATGATGTTGTAAGCAGAAAAGAAAGACAAATTAGGCAGGTAAAACAATGATGTTCACTAGAGTCTAAACAAGGAAAGGAGTAAAGTGAATATGAGAATGATGGGCTATGAAAAAATGGAGAAAGAGAAGTATAGGACCTGGACACTTCAATGAAATTGAGGAACAGATAATGCAGATATAATTGAATGAGAGACCTAGAATGACAGATTGTATTCAGAGGGTGGTATACTTAGGTTTTTTTTCAGAGATGATAAGGACTAAACTGTAACAGTGGGAAAAGGAAAAAGACTGGAAGAAAATACTTCCACTCTCCAACTCTCCTCAATTTTTATAATTCTGTAGTGGCTGGGCGTCCATGTTTGTTGTATTAGTATATTACATAGAATGTCTCTTTTGCCTCTTAGTTATAATTGTTTAAATCTTAATTTCAGCTAATGAGTAAAGAATCTCCTGTCTCTGCTGGAAATGATGCCTATGTTGACCTTGATCGCCAGGTACCTAATTTCACATTGTTTTTATCCATGCAAAGATTGAAAAGGATAAACTTTAGATAATGAAAAGGATGTTTAAGTTGAAATTGCTTATGGAACATGTTGATATAATTCTTTATTTTTTACCTAAAATTTTAAGAACTTAGGCCACTTTACTCATGGATATTACACATTTGTAATTAAATTTGCAATTTGTAATTAAAGTATTATTCCATAACCCACTTTAAAATAAATTAACTTCTTTATTGTAATTTGAGTTTTATAGTCATCATTTTTCTTTTTCCATCAGTGATATCTTTTTATATGCCACATTTGACACAATAGACAAATTCCTGGAAAATGGCATGCATTTTCCATTGGCATAAATAATTTTATGATTTATTTATGATACGAAGGATATTTTACTTTTTGTTTCACATTATTCTTCAATTGAAGATATCTCCTCTACCCTTCATCTTTGTGAGCAAGTGAACAATCTGTTAGCAGGTATTTAAATACACTAAGGAACTAGTACTATATTTTTAAAGGAACTCCAATATAGTCTTATGGTTTTAATGGAAATGTTATTTTGTGATTTTAATTATTGCTTTTAGTAAAATACTATTAGTTACATTGTCAGCTTCTATGTTCCAGCTGTTCTGGGACATCTATTCCAAAGCATGAACAGATATCTTTGTGCTCTTTGTCTCCTTTCATTTCTTCCCCATGGTTTCTAAGTGTTTTGTAGGAAAATCTTTGGACATGCTATAATTTTAACCCAAGTTGTTATTGTCTTTCCCTTTGTGATGTTTGGTATTAAAGAAGTTACCCTGAATGCATTTTTTTTGTATCTATATTACACAGTGGTTTGGTCACAAGAAACGAAAAGCCAATATAATTATATTTTAAACCATTTTTTTCTTTTTTAAAATTAAGTGATCAATCAATTGATTAATTATAATTAATCACTTGTTCATAGTTAGAGTTTATATAATAATGGGACACAACTTGGGAATATTTGGTTTGTGTTGAGAATCAATACAAAAATCTTCTATTTTTAAATTATGATATCTAAATTAACATAAAGGCTTAATATGACTAAAAAAACTTGTATTGAAATATACTAGCTATATATTTTAGCAATTGAAACCCCTGTCCTCCAGCACATACATATTTTACTAAGATAAAATTTTCTGTTATTACACAGTCGACATATACCAAGAAACAGGTATCCCAGATAGAAGATGTGTAAGAAAACGTGATATGAGAAAAAGAACCAAATCCAAAGTACAGAAATGACAAGATTTTGGACTAAAAGATATTCAGAGTTAGAAGTGCCTTCTTTTGACTTGCAGAAGGATTCTTGATTTCTCTCTGTCCCTCAGGAAGAAAAGGAGGAAAATGTTTAATTCTGTATTGTACAAATGTAATTGTTAATTGTTGCCACTTCATCTTGAAATGTTTATTGTATCTCTTTGTTTCCAACTAGTTGAAGAAAACTACAGAGGAACTAAATGAAGCTTTGTCAGCAAAGGAAGAAATTGCTCAAAGATGCCATGAATTGGATATGCAGGTAAGAGGTCTGTTCTATGTACCAACCGTTTGAAATGCACCATTGTAAATACCACCAAATGTACTGTGTACTACTATACAGTACAGTTTGACTTTAATACAACCCTAATTAAAGAGGGAAAAAAGGAAAACAGATTTTAATAGATTATTGTGGCTGCTGTGTGGATTATTTGCTGAGCAAATATATTAATTTCCTTTCCTTTGGTAACCCCATTAAATTTACAATAAATGAATTAAACTACAAGAAAAGAAGAGAAAGAGGGAGGGATAAAGATGAGACAAAGAAGTGATGCAGGATGGGGCGAGTCTTCCAAGTGGGGACTCGGGCCCTATGCCTGCCAAGAGAGGGTCCTTGACCATGTGCAGGAAAGAATTAAAGCACAAGCCAGAGTCGAGACAAAAGGAAAGTTTATTAGAGAAAGAATAACTCTCCAGAGACAGAGACGTGGTCTCCTTTCAGATTCTGAGAATGAGACCCCAGTTGTTTGAAGAATTGTGTTTATATTTGTTTTTTCCTTTGGGGGAGGGGGCTGGGGGTATAGGAATGCAGCGTTCAAGGCGTGGGGTGGTAGATG